TACTCCACCACCACCTCCCAGCACCCCCGGTTTGCAGCCCCGGAGCCTCTTGGGCTCAACCCTCGTGCCGCGTGCACAGGGGGGCTGCGTCAGGACCCCCCCGCGCCCCGTGTGCACGGCAGCACGGACCCTCTGCATCTGTTTCTGTGGCTGCCCCCAGGCACGGCGCACGCTGGGACCTCTTCGCCCGCAGCGGGCAGAGAGGGTTAAGTGCAGCTTTAGCAAAACAGCACCGGTCCCTGCAGGCATGGAAATAAGTAATTCCTTCCTCGCTGTCCTCGCACGGCAACGCCTCTTGGCTCCCTCCCGCCGCTCATCTCCGCTCGCTCGAGGCGCTGTGCTGCGTTGCGGTGCGGTGCGGTGCGGTGCGGTGCGGTGCGGTCCCCCGGAAGCCTCCAGCAGCGGCTCAGCGCCGGGAGCAAGGAGGGGACGTGGGGCGGTGCACCCCGCGTTGTCTTCACCCGATGGGTTTTGCCTCTCATCTGCCCCCGCTGACCCCAGATGACTCCCCCTGGGGAGCCCTCTCGGTCTGCCCTGGCCCTTTTCTCTTGCTCTGCCATAGTCATGGCAACGATGGAGCTGCAGGATTTGCACAGACCCGTTTCTACAGGGCTGTGTCTCCACACCGCATGTCCGGAGGTCGCTGGCACGAAGGGAGCCTTGGGGACGTGCAAATGGCCACCACTATTCCCCATCAGCTCCCAGCAGGACTGTTGGGAAATGCAGGGAAATAGGCTCTTCCCTTCTCATTCACTTAATGGGGCAGAAAAACCAATTAGCTTCACAAATCACTACTGGGGGGGGTGGGAGGACTGGGCGCTTCCCTGGCAGCATCTTCCATGGAAGCTCAGAGATCTCCCCTTGCAGGGGCTAAAACTGAGGCAGCGAGCTGATCCGAATTGCCTGCGCTCACCCAAAGGGGGGAGGATCAGCATCACACCCCACTGCACCCCGACAGCCAGCCACCACTGCAGGGCACGCGGTGAGGAGCATCAGGCCATCTCTCTGCTCCCCTGAAGCACTGCAAACCCCAGAGGAAGCGCATCCCTGTGCGGGGACCTCGGGCTGCTGGGGGATGGGGGCACTCAGAGCCCTGCATGAGGAGGTCAGTGAGTCGCAGCGCAGCGCCGGGGTGGGGGTGTGACTCAGCCTGCTTGCGAAATTCCTGTTTTTCCCCATGTCTGGACAAGCCCTCGGACACCTCTGCCTGCAGAGGCCAGGATCCTTCACACGTGGCAAAGCGGCACGTGGCAAACAGCAAAGCCATGGGGCAGAGCCGTGCTGCCAGCTCCTGGGCTGCAAGAAAACCCCAACCCTGGACCCCATGCCCCCAGGCAACAAGAAAGGGGGCACAAGCCTGAAAGCCCCTCCTCACCATCCAGCTCCTCCAGGCTTGAGCTGGGGCAGCAAGTGCCCCAGTCCCACTCCTTCGGTCCCGTTCCCTGGTGACAGCCTGCTGCAGAGCAGGGACAGGGCTGGAGGACCACGGCAAGGACAGCCACCAGCCCCGGATCATCCCCTGGCAGCCCCTGAGCCCATTTGCACAACACACCCGGTGCAGAATCCTGGCCTTGGGGAGCCCCGTGTGCGGGGAATCTCCTGAAGCAAACCCCACATCAGGAACAAATCCGACACAGCGCAGCACAGAGGATCACACTTCAACGGTGGTGGTGCCCAGCGGGTTTCTGGGGCCCTTTTCTGGGATCATCCCCAGCTCGCCCTCAGCCCGGATGGACGCAGGAGCCCCGCTGAGCCCCGACACGCAGCGTGGCGCAGCAAATATTTATCCGGCATCGCTTCCCCGCCGCTCCCCAACGGCCCCAAACACACGCAGGGCCACGTGCGGAGCCACGGCCGCACCCCGCGGGACGTCCCTGCTGAGTGCTGAGCTCACGGCTCGCCGCGATGGTGCCGAGGGGTCAGGCTGGGGGGCAGCGCCGAGCGCGGGCGGTGAAGGGAAGGGAGAAGCGCGCCTGCACCAATCCCACTCGGAGAAGGGGAGGAGGGCGGCCGCTCCCCTGCTGCTTGCAGGGATCAGAGCCAAACATCTGCTCCCGGCTCCGAGCTCCAGGAGCTGTGAGGAAGCCGGAGCCCAGCCAGCACCGGAGTGAGTGCAGCAGGGCCGGAGCGGGCACATCTGTATCCCTACCATGCGACAGCCCCGATCCCAGCACCAACAGTTGATGCTGCAGCTCCGTTCTGTGCCTACAAGCAGAGCCATGGACGTGTGGATGCTCACACCGCAATGGGATGCAACAACACCTCCACCCCTCCCCAGTGATAAATGAGGGTGAAAGGACCCCCGAAATCATATTGGTCCTGGGGTCACCCTCGGCAGCGGGCACAGCGCACAGTGGGTCCGGCACAGCGCTGCAGCACGGCCCCAAGGGGACACCCGGAGCATCCCAGGACTCTGCATTCTGCTGTACCAGCATTGTGGGGAAGCAGCAGGGAACGGGCGGGATGACGAAGGATCTGGCACAAGGAGGGTGGCGGAAAGCACGACGTCATGCAGGGCTCTCCAGCCCCGGGAGACGTGGCGGGGCGGCTCGGAGCCGGGCAGAGCTGGCTGCCCCGGCACGCCGCAGCCCTCGCTGTGCCAGGAGTGCCAGAGCTGCTCACATCAGCTCATCGAATGCACAGCAGAAATGCAGCCACGGAGCTGCAGCACGGGCAGCTGGAACCAGGCAAAACCCGACTTGAAAAGCCCTGCCTGAGTGATCTCTGCCTCCTCCGCTTCCGCCTGATTCACGCACAGGTCTGCACACGAACGCCCCGCGTGGCCGCAGCCCCAAAATCACACCTCTGTGACCCAGGGCTGGGCAGCAGCACCCAGCCAAGCCCTGCGGTGAGATGGGAGCCAAGGGTCACCAGAGCCCAGGAAATGTCCTCAGCCCAGCCAGGGGCTCCCCACAGCCACCCCACCCCATGGGACCCCCACCTCCCACCCACAGCCCCCATACCTGGTCCCACTCTCCTGAGCTTTCCCAGCCAGGTCCCATCTCGCAGCCCCGCAGCCTCCAAGGGGCCGTGTCACCACGTCCCCCTCCACAGGGCTGTGTCACAGCACTGGGGGTGGCTCTGACCCACTGCCCTACAAGCCCGCGTGTGCGCCGGCGCATCGCAGCACCCCAGCAGCAGGGACCCGGGGGCTGGCGGCCCCATCTGCAGCTCCTGCCCGGTGCATTAGCGGCACGGGGAGATGCAGCCTGGGGCGGTGTTTGCTTTCTAGGTCAGAGGCAGCAGAGGAGGATGGATGTGGGGCTGTGGGGCTGCTCCGTGCTCTGGGAGTGCTCCCCGTCGGCAAAGCAGCCCCACGCCCTGCCAGCACGAGGGGGGAATCACAGAGACACGTGGGCTGGAGAAGTCCTTCAAGATCCTCGGGTCCAGCCATCACCCTGACCCACCGAATCCCACCACTAAAGCACATCCCTTGGTGCCATGTCCACCCATCACCAAAATATACCCAGGGATGGGGACTCCCGTTCCAATGCTTTGGGCACTCTCCCCATAGAGATCTCCTTCCTGATTCCCAATCTCAGCCTCCCCTGGTGCAACTTGAGAGCTGAGCGCAGTGCCCCAGGCTCCATGGGCTCCCCATGCAGCTTCTCCCTCCCCTCCAGGCCCACCCCACAGTGCTGGTGACACACCAATGGGGTACCCAGAAGGGACTGCACTGAGCCCAGCACAGCACAGCTCCAGAAGGACCCCAGTGCCCCAGGGTGATGTGAATGCACAGGCTGTGCTCGGTCCCGCTAGGAGCTGACGTGACTCTGGACACCCATCCAGGGCTGGAGCCAAATACCTCCTCCTGCTCTGGGACAACTCAAATGCTGGTGTTATTTATTTTCTCGTGCACTGAAACAGGAAACCTGCAATATGCTGAAGCCCTGGAGCCCCGCCAGAGCCAGGGGCACCTCACCAGCTCAGCGGGAGTGAAACACAAAGTGCTGGGCTGGAGATGCCCTGGGGTGGGGGGATGGAGGTCTGGGGGGACCCATAGCGAGGGGACAACATGGTGCCAGCCAGCAACATCAAAACCTTGGTGCCCTGCTCTTGCTGGGATCCCATCCCACCGGTCCCACTATGTGCCACCAGTGCTCAGATCCACCGTTGGAAACAGGGGGAGCATTTCTGAACACAGAGCTGCTGCGTGCTTTTCACACGGCCACAGAAGCATCGCGGTCAGAAAAGACCCCCAGGGTCACCAAACCCAGCCGTCGGCCCAGCCCCCGCCCCTACCCACGCTGCTCCTTATCAGCCCTCTGCTCTGCTAACAGCCCCCGATCCGGGCACTCACCCCGTGGTGATGTCATCGTCCTCCGTCAGGGTCTTCCCCATCAGGTCACTGTCGCTCATATATCCCGACTTCAGCTCCACGTCATCGCTGTCCAACGCCTCCACCAGCTCCAGCCGCGAGATGTGGCTCAGTTTGCTGGGGCTGCGCATGGGCATGGTGTGCGAGTAATGCGCCCGCTCGCCGTGCATGTACCAGCCGGGGGTGCCCTCGGAGCGGCAGCCGCCCCCCACCGACGGCGCATCCCCCGCCTGCAGCCGCGGGCTGGATTGCCCGTAGCGCCAGGAGAGCGGCGAGGAGCGGTTCGACAGGCTGGAGACGCTGCGCGGGTTGGCTTCGTCGCTGTCGTAGCACGTCATCTCCAGGGAGCTGCGGGGACGGGCCAGGGTGAGGGCTGCCGGGCGGGTCAGGGTCGCCCGGAGGGTTACCGGCCCCCAGCGGCCAGCACAGCCCGCACATCGCGTACTGCAGGTCCCGAGAAGACGGCCGTGCCGTCTGCATGGATGTGCTTGGTGGTGCCCAGTCCCTCCAGGGGCTGTGGGGCAGGATGTGGGGCGTGATGGCGCTGCTCCCCTTGTGCTCTGAGCTGCAGGATGATCGAGGACCCTGCTTCCCCGGCTCCAGCAGACCCCTGCTTTGCCCACTGCTGGGGATTCCCCGTACAGATGGTGTGGAGGGACACGAGCATCCACAGGCCGTGCTCCGTGCACCCCTGCCCATTTCCCCACACGTCCCAGCAGGGGCTGAGGCTGCAAAAGCAAAAGGGGCAGCTCCTCGGCACGGCACAGAGCTCCCCATCCCCGCAGGGCCCCCAGGGGTCGTGCTGAGCCCTGTTAACAGGGATCCACCAGGGAAAGCCCCACCGTGCTGCTGAGCGTGTGCCCCCCTGGGCCGGCCCAGGGGTCTGCTGCCCCCCAACCTCAGGGTGTATTTCGGGCACGGCAGGGAGTGATGCTGAGACTAAACTTAGACACCACAAATGATTCGTTCTTGGAGCAGCTCCTGGGAGCCCACAGCCCTCGGCTCAGCTCCACGCTGCCATCAGGAGCCGCTCCCCTGCTGCAGCCACGTGGGCCCAGCGCTCCTGCATGAGCAGCAGAAGCCAAACCCGACTGCAGCGCGGAACTGAAAAGAGGGAACTGTATAAAAACTGGGAAGTTTGTTAAAGCAGAACTGCAAGAAGCAGCTGAAAGGAGCCGGTTTGGTAGGCAGCACAAGGGCTGTTTAAAGCTGTGCTGCTGGCAGCTCAGGGCAGAGACTGAGCAGAAAACCCCGAGGGCTGTGAAACCTCCCAGCAACAACACTGCGCCCCAGCACAGACACAGGGCAGTGTCAGGGATCCACGGGATGCAAGAACCCAGCATGGAGGCCCACCATGCACTGATCGGTGTCTCCATGGCAGGGATCTGTCTGAGCCCTCAGCCAGGGGGAGCATCATAAATCATCAAGGAAAGGAGGGACAAAACCCACCAGCAAGGCTAATTTAATCGCCCATAATCCTTGTCCTATTTCCCTAAGAGTGGCTGACAGGATTTGCTGAGGAGCCGCCGAGCCGAGCACTGCTGGATGGAATCTGACACAGACGAATGCAAAGGGAATGCAAAGGAAATGCAAAGCAGCCCTGCTGGGGCGCGGGCAGCACGGCAGCTCTCACACCAAGCAGAGCCCGCAGAGCTGCAGTGGGTAAAGCCAGGAAATCGCAGGATCAGGGAACACAGCCTGTAAATCCCGGGGCTTCGATCCCTTCAGCTCAGAGATGTGCAAAGCGCAGTGGGGATCCCAAAGATCTGGGTGAGCTTCAGCATGAAGAAATGCTGAGCAGAGAGAAATTCTTCATCGGGGGAGCACAGGGCCGCTCTGTGAGCGCCAGCGGGGGGTGAAGGGGCGGCGAGCTGCTGCTGCTCGTCCCTTCCAAAACTGAAGCGCGCAGCGAGACCACGAGGTGGCAACAGACAACCAGAGGATGCGAGCAGCTGCTCGCCCAGCGCAGCTCGCTGCAAAGCCCGGCTTCCAGGCGTGGCTGCAGAACGCGGGGCTGGGGGTGACGTCGGGCACAGCTTCCCCCAGCTGGAGCCCCCAGGAAGGATGGGGAGGGGGATGGGGGGGGCTGAGTCCTCACCTGTGAGACACCTGGGAGCCCCGCAGGCTGGACATGGTCTCCTCCAGGTTTTGACGAAGGTCCAGAACATTCTGCACCGTCCTCTTCCTCTGGGACTCGGGGTCTGTGGGGGCACAAGGAGGAGGCTGTGAGGGACAAAGCGCCTCTGACCACGTCCTGCAACCTGAGAGGGAATGGGGCAGGGTGGAAGGGCTCCCATGCTGCATCCAAACGTTAATATTGCTGCACGATAGCTAAACCCACCTCCCTGGGAGCAGGGCAGAGGGACCAGGAGGAGGGAACCCCGGGCAGCAGGGGCAGAGCCCCACTGGGACAGGGACTTCTGCTCCAGAAATGCTGTGCTGGGAGCACATCCCCATGCACATATGTGCACATACATGTTAGCACACCTGCGTGCACACGTGCTTACACACAAACACACACACAGATGCACACACGGCTACTGGGTCACCACCTCCTTTCTATGGCAGCTGGCACAGCATTGCTGAGCCTGGGGCACAGCTTCCTCCCTCCATGTGCCCCTGACACACTGATGCACACCCCAGTGCATAACAGCTGGGCTGTGACCCCCGATTCCAAGCCTTTGGATTCACAGCTCTGCAGTGAACCACAGCCACATCTCCCAGGGCAGCAGGAGGGGATTGGCTCCTCCTAACACAGCACAGCACACAGCCCTCGGGCTGTGCAACAGCACCAGGAGAGCTGTGGGGACTGGGGACCGGGGGGGGGGGGCTGCACAGCCAGCACACAAGCAGGGCCCATGCCCCCTCATCCCCAGCACCCACGATCTGCATCCCTGGGACTGCAGGCAGTGCCACGGGCTCAGCAGCGCTGCCCCATCCCTGACTGTGTGCCCACCCCCAGCCGTGCAGCCCCACTTTCCGTGCGACCCTACGAGGCAGTGATGAGCACAGGCAGCCACGATGAGACAGGTTAAATGAAGCAGGTGAAAGCCCACAGCACAGTGGGGTGAGCGGGGCTGGCAAGCACCAGCAGAGCCCCCAGCCACGACCGGAATGTGGGGCACCCAGCATGGCACACAGGGATGGGGATGTGCAGACAGCGAGGAGGGGTCTGGGGGCTGCAGACACAGCATGGATGGGGCACGGTGGGGCAGAAGCAGCCGTCAGCCTGCTCTGCACCTGGGGACAGAGGGAGCCAGCGTCCTCCTAGGGGGGACAGGTTGGCACGCTGGCTCACCTGAACACAGGCAGGGCTCCTCCGCACACCGCACTCGGGGCAGCGCCGCGTCCCCTGGGCAGCGACAGCACCGCAGCCCCAGGTGTCGGCGAGGGGCCGGCTGAGCCCTGCCCAAACCGGAGCTCCGGGAAGGGCTGCAGTGTGGGAACGGCGGCGGCGCGCCGGATTCCTCTCCTCATCGATTTAGCAAGCTGCTGCAGCCAGATGTTTGCAGCTGCCGGCACGCAGAGCAGCAGGGCCGGCTCAGCCGCGGGGTCAGTCGGGCACAAAGCCTGGGCTGGGCTCACTGCCCACCAGGGACGTGTCCACAGAGCTCCTGCTCGGCGCGTCTCCTCCATCCCAGCTCAGAAGAGCAGCCCCGACCCCGGCCCTGTGCCCCGCCGTGCTGCCCCCACAGCCCTCCTCCTGCCCTCCTGCCACCGCCCCAGCAGCTCTTCCCCCCTCTGCAGCTCTGTCCTTGCGAACAAATTGTGGTGGGGAAACTGAGGCAGAACGCCTGGCTCACCCCAACCCCCATCTGCACACGCAGACTTCCTTCACCCGGCGACGCCAGCTGCTCTACCATCGCAACGGGGCGCAGCCGCATCCCACAGCCGGGCACTGCAGACGTGGCCAGGAACATCCAGGAATGAGGAAACCATCAGCTCCTGCAGCTCGTGACAGCGCGTTTCCGCACACGGCCATCGCCTCCCGCTGGGCCGGCGGCTCCGCGCCCCACGTGCTCCCCATGTGCTTTGGCCGCCGTGACGATGCGCACATGTGGGCCACGTGGCAGCCAGCCCCGCACACGGGCGCAGGGCAGCAGGGCTGCGTGCGCAATGGGGGCTGTGCCTCGGGGCGCTGCTCCGCCGCAGGGCGCTGCCCGGCCCCGCAGATGGCTGCTGCCCCTTCGGAGCGTTTCACGACCTCTTCCTCTGCTGCCTCCAACCCAGAACCCGCTGCAGCTGGGGGCAGAGCGGAACCCGGGACCCTGCAGGTTCCCGCCTGCAGCGCACGACTGCAATGTTTCCACGTGGAGTAACGTGGCTTTATCCCCCGTTCTTACATTCACTTCTGATTCATGCTGCTGGGCAGGCGGCGGTCACAAGTCGTCATCTTTCTCCCTGTGGTTTAATGAGTCCTTCTTTCCTTCCCCGTGACCCCGGGGTGACACCGCAGGGATGAGGATGGATGCATCTCAGTGTGCCCTGGGCTCAGCCCCAATGTGGGGTCAAACAGAGGGGTGGCAGTGGGCAAAGGTGGCAGGGACAGCAAGGCACAGTCTGGGCCATCTCATAAACCATGGCCATCCCCACAGTCACAGCCAGCCCCACACCTATGACCAGTCCCACACCTGCAACCAGTCCCATAACCATCCCCATAACCGTGTCAGTTTTCATGACCAGGACCATCCCTGCAGCCCCACAGCCCCGCAGCACGTGCCAGCTCCCTGCTGGCAGCAGGCAGGAGCAGCAAATTAGCAGCAGTGCAGCAGTGACAGCCGGGATGGGACTTCAGCCGAATCAGCACTTCTGGGGCACTGCTGCTGCTAAGTGAATGGCTCCTCCTAATGAGGGCAGGGCTGGGAGACCTGGAGCCTGAACCCGGTCTGGCTGCAGCGAGCCAAGCTTTTAAAAGGGATTCAGATTTTCTCAGGCTGGAGCAGCCATAAATCTAGTTAATTGGGTCTCTCCCATACACTACTTTCCAAGCGAACACGCTGGAGAGATCCAGCCCGGGCCCCCGGCCCATTTGTGGGTTATTCTTTCAATGGATGCTTGGCCCCAAACCACCCCACCTGCACATCCAATGCAGCTCTGTCTCCATCAGGACGAGCTCAAGCTGCTCAGCCTGTCACACCTCCAGCCCAGGACTGCCTGAAATCCCCCCGCTGGTCAGGCTGTCCTGCAGCCAGGGCTGCTCCCTGAGCAGGGTCGGTCAGCACTGTGCCTCAGTTTCCCCACAGCTCTGTGCTCCCCCACAGTGCAACCTGTGTGTGCCCCACGCAACACGGCTGTGCTCAGCCCTGGTACCGAGCCTCCAGCAGCCACCAGCAGCTCAAGGGGATCCACAGCAAAATTATCCACACCAGAAAAGGGGGACAAAAGCAAAGCGAAAGCCCTGGGGGCAGATGGTGCTGCTCCACACCCAGCGCAATGCACGGGGCGGACATGGTGGAAATTCAGAATTCCAGATGGCTCTTTCGGGTGGGTTTTTTTGGGTCTTTTTTTTTTTTTCCCTGTCTCATTTCCAAGGCAACAAGACTCGCTGTCATCTGCTCGTTGCCATGGCGATTTCACCTGATTCTGCTTCAGCAGCGGAGGAAGAGAAAAGCTGGGAGAGCGCCGTGCTGCCACAGAGCCCCGAGCTGCTCCGAGCTGCGGGGAGAGCGTGGATCAATGGGGCTTTATCCGACCCAGGCAATGGGCCGATTCACGGGATCTAAGGAAGGAGCTGCGGGTTTCTTAGGGCACAAGTCGGCCCTTCTCTTAACTGCTTCGGTGCCCGCCAGATGTGCCGCACATCTGGGGACGTTGCCACGGTCTGCCTGGAGGGAGGTTTTGGGTGCTGGGGGTCCGGCGCCCACCTGTGGCTGCACCCAGAAGACCGAGCTGGGTTTCGTATTGCCCCCCATCCCACGTCCCAGCACTGCCCTGCCCCGGGGTCCTCATGGCACCGGGAGGAACGGTGGGGAAGCATTCTCACAGCAAGCAAGAAGCAGAACGCCCCAATGCAGCCCCAATGCAGCCCCACAGCCCACCTGCCCCACACTCTGCCCACCCCACACCCCGTGCCAGGGGCACAATGTCCTCCACCACTGCCAAAGAGCACAGCTCAGCTCCCACAGATTCGGGCTTGAGTTCCCCACGGCCACAGAGCGCCGGGTGCCATCAGCACTGACACTGCCTCAGTGGCCCCACTGCTGCTCCACGCAGACAGCACAGATACATCCACGTGCTGAGGGCTCCTCCAGCCCCACAGTCGCTACAGGGCTGTGGGCACCTGGCACAGCCCAGCACCATCATCCATGCACACCCATCCCCTTCCTGCTGGGAACCAACACCAGGAGATCAGCAACCCGAGCTCCGGCAGCCCCCCGGACCCCCCCCCCCCCCCACTGCCAGTGTGTGCCCTGCACCCGGGGCTGCCCCAAATGGGGTCATTGCCCAGGACTGTCCCCTCCTCATCCCACGTCCCCCTAGCAGGGGTAGCAGGGAAAGGCTTCTGGCTCACACTGGCTCCCATTTGCAGTGAGCAGAGCTCCAAACGAGCACACAGTCATTAGCGGAGCCAGCCGCCCCGCTCCCAGCCAGAACACAGCCACGCTTGGGGAAGCTTTATATTCACAGAGACAAACAACTCACATTTGCTTTTTAACTGTTGGAATTGCACCCAGTGGGACGGGAGGAACAGGGAACCCTTTGTCCCCTTCTCCTTGTGACTGAGAGCTTTGTGCAGAGCAATGCGTTGCAAACAAAATTCTCCGCGGCCTCAGCTGGGCTCTGGTGGACACTTGGTCTGTCTGTCCATCCGCCACCCAACAGCCGAGGAGCCCTCATGCATCTCCAGCAGGAAAGCAAAATGTCCTCCTCCACTCTGCACTGAGAGCCTTCCTACAGAGAACGCAGAGCTCACCAATCTTAGCAGTCCTCCCCAATCTCCCCCACCATTCTGTGAATCCACGCTGCTGAGGGCACAGAGCTGCCGCCACCCCGGAGAGGGACAGTGCCCCTGGGGCTCTGGTGACCCCAAATGAGTTTCCTTCACCCACAGAAGACCATTTTGGTGCTGAGCCCCCCCCCAGAGCTTCACCCTGAGCTCTGTGATGGGCACGCTGACCCCGAGGGCGGCCAGGGGTCCCCAGAAGCCCCCAGCAGATGAGTGAGGGACCCCCAGCCCCACTCAGCTGCAGTAGTGGCCCCA